TATCTTAAAAAGACAGCATTTTCCAAAACTAAGTCTGCAAGTCCTTAAACAAGAGACAATACATTTGTAGCTAACCCTTCTTAATAAACAGGGGTTATAACGATATAAAAATAATCAGTCAACCTAACTCTGTCAGTTTCTCAATGTCTACACCACTGACATTGTAAGCTGGGTAATTCTGTTGAGGGGGCTGTCCTGTGCATTTTAGGATGGTTACCAGCATCTCTAGCCTCTTACTCATTAAAGGCCAGTAGGAAAGTCCCTACCCCACTGTGACAACCAAAAACGCCTCCAGACATTGGATTATCAGGTTGCAATATGAAAAAAAAAATGTTTTACTTTTCTCAGAATGTTTTCCTGTTATTACTTCATTAGACTGGTAATAAAAGCACAAATTGGTAGATATTGAAGTGAAAAAAATCTTTAGATTGACTGCTAGTTCTATATATCAAAAGAGGACATCTTAAAGTACTATAAGCAGTAAAGCTTACTGATGTACAATGCTGCCCTACTCCTGCCACTTTCTTAAAACTACTGTCTCTTATTTAGGAAAGGGAATTCATGTAGCTCTTAACATTCAGATGAGGCTTTGTCAAAAATTAAATTTCTTAATTTTAGATCTTGACAGACCAAGTCCCACTTATTTGACAGGGTTATCAACTCTTCTGTTTTAGTAACTACAGGTTAAGAAAGTCAGAAAGTGTCAAAAAAATTGGTATAATATCATAGCAGCAATATTCATAATAGGCAAAAACATGGAAACAACCCAAATGTCTGTCAAATGTCCTGATGAATAGATAAATTTGGCAATTAAAGATTGAGTTCCCATACCTCCTACAATACAGATGAACCCTGAAAACATGCCAAGTGAAAGAAACTAACAATTAAAGTCCACATATTATATGATTTCATTCATATAAAATGTTCAGATCAGGTAAAAGCAAAGAAATTGTAGCCTTGGCTGGTATGGCTCAGTGGATCCAGCATCAGCCTGCTGCCTGGGAACCAAAAGGTTGCCAGTTCAATTCCTAGTCAGGGCACTTCCCTAGGTTGCTGGCTTCGTCCTCCATTGAGGGCATGTGAGAAGCAACCAATTGATGAATATCTCTCACATTGAGGTTTCTCTCCTCTCTCTAAAAATAACTAAATAAGATCTTTAAAGAAACACAAATTGCAGATTAATGTTGAGGACAGGAGTGAGAATAAACGACTGCTAATGGATAAGGTGTTTCTTTTAGGAAGTAAATCCTGCCAAATCCTCCAAAATTAGAACTACGACAATTATACTGCTGCCTAGAGTCCTGACATGAAAAGAGGTTTCATACAATGCAATATTGTCATGTTGAGAGGCTTCACCTTTACTGCACTGTAGTTTAACATAGTAGAGCATAAAGATTAAGACGAATAAGCTCTACCACCTCAACCTATGTTCACTTATATACGAACCCCTCTTCTCTGCCCAATTTCTTCATCTTGACACAATCTGAGGAAAATGCCTATTGCCCTTTCTTCACGTCTTCAAACACTCAATTTGATAATTTACATTAAATATATATTAAAAAGCACGAAATACACACCATGCTAGCCATTACACAAAGTTTTTTGGAGCTTCTCTGTAAGAGAGGAGCTATAAAAATTCAAGAATAATGTCTTGCTGTGGGCATTTCCCTACCATTAGGACCACCCAAGAAACTGACTTTAGTGTGTGTACTTATAAATGTATACACATGTAGTTAATTACAAATAAGCACTCGGTAAAACACCCCCCCACCCACCAAACCCTAAAGTTCCTTCTTTCCCTCACCATCATGACGAGAATTCTAGGATGTTTTGAGCTAATGCCAAGTAGTAGGGTATTCTATCTCAAGCAATACACATATGGTATGTGAATTATACCTTAATACTGTTTATATAGCCCGGGCTGGTGTGGCTCAGTGGACTGAGTGCCGTCCTGTGAACCAGAGGGTTGCTGGTTCGATCCCAGTAAGGGCACATGCCTGGGTTGTGGGCCAGGACCCCAGTGGGGGTGTGTGTGGGAGGCACACATTGATGTTTCTCTCACTCCCTTCCCCTCTCTCTAAAAATAAATAAAAAAAACCTTGAAAAAAACAACTGTTTAAATATATATATTTAAATGACATTACTTAGAAATACTGTTTTACTTTGGTATCACTCTGTGTTTGTATTTTGTAAGTTTTAGTCTTGGTCTTCTGACTCTGGGTATATTACTTACAGAGTAACACATGGTCGAGGATGGGATTTGAAAATAGGTAATATGTAAACAGCATAAATGGTAAGCAATGAAACTATTTTTAACTGCTAAGGTTTAGCACTGTACAAAAACTACCAGTGGACATCATCATCTTTCTAATAAAAATGAACAAGATCCTTCATATAATTTTGAAAAGTGTCATGCAAATGAAAGGCTTTCATGGGCATACATATACCATACCCAATTTTAAAGCATTTTAGTCTCAAAGATTAACCTGGATCAAAAACATTTAATATCAAGAAGTATAATGAAAATACACCTTGGGAATTTTATAACCTTATTTATACAGTCATGTTGACTGAGTGACCAATATGTGGGAATACTGATCACTCAATGAAGTCAATGCAATTGATCTGAGAAGATTCAACGTGTGACAAAAAAAGATGACAAATCCCAAATTCAAGAGCAGACTGTCACATGTAACCTGTGCTCATACACTACCACAGTGTCCTTTACACATACATACTACACAATCTAAAAAGATTTATGAGGCCTGGCTGGTGTAGCTCAGTGGAATCAGTGGGAACTGCAAACCCAAGGGTCGCTGGTGCAATCCCCAGTCAGGGCACATGCCTCGGTCACAGGCCAGGTCCCCAGTGGGGGCCATGTGAGATGCAACCACACATTGATATTTCTCTCTCCCTCCCTAAAAATAAATAAAATCTCAAAAAAAAAAAAAGAATTTATGAGATTAAAGGAGATGAAGGTTTCCAAGGAGGCAACTATGGAACATCACTAAGCAAATGCCATTAACCAATCTGGATACCACTCAACTCTGTAAAATGAATAAGAAAATTGCTAACGTGGCTTCCACTTCCAAAAAATTCCACAAAAGTTACAGAGAAAGGGAGTGTAGTTCTTCACTAATCATGACCCTAAGCTGTCAAGATGGCAAATCCAGGCTGAATAAGCACTTTGCTTCAGATGAAGCTTTTGTACAACACCCCAAACTTATGACACGAAGTCAACCTTGTTATTTCCAAGCTGACAATGGAGAAGAGCCAGGAGTCTTGAAGATTTCGACCTTGCTCTGCCACCTGCATACAGTGTGACCTTGAACAGCAAATAACTTCATCTACTTCAGCTAGGAGATACCACCATCTGCCTACATTTATCTCAGAGCATCAAACGAGACAAGAAACATAGCAGTGCTTCGTCAACTGTCTAGTGCTATACCAATGAAAAGGTTCAAGTGCACTTCAATTCCCTTAACATTTCCCAAGGACAGACACAACCCTTAGTCTCCTATGTAATAATAGACATGTACATTCTTGGGGACAAATGAGTGTCCAGAGATAGAAGCTGTTCAGTAAATGTTTTGTAGAATGCAAGGTCGTGCCAGGGAAAAGGAACTACAGTTGATCCTTGGTATTGTAGGGGGTTGGTTCCAGGACCTCCCTGGATACCAAACTCCTCATGCTCAAGTCCTCTATGCAGAATGGCACAGTATTTACATATAATCCACACCCTCCCATATACTTTATATCATTTCTAGATCACTCATGTGAATGCTATGCAAATAGTTGTTACATTGTATTGTTTGGGAATAGGGACCTCTTAGTAATTGTGCAATTATTTAAAAAAAAATAAAAAAAGAAGCTAAACCCCGCCGCTTAAGTTATAAACATTTAACCAAAATGAGAGTTGTCAAAGAGATCTGATCTTGTTCACCATTGCATCTTAAACACCACGAACCATGCCTAGTTTATAGTTTGCATTCAAGTGTTGACTCAATTAAGAAAAAAAAGTTCAGAAGTAATCTCAGTCTTCACCCTTGCTTCCTCTCTTCCAGCACGTGGGCACATCATACTGGGTTTCCCACTCACACCTAACTCCAGTACTTCATCCTCCAAACCTAACACATACCCTTGGAACACATGGGCCAGGCCACACTCCTAAAAACGTGAAGAGCAGATGTGGGAGGACAGAAAAGAAAGCAACACAGGCGCGTAAAATCTTGCTATCTGCGCTCGCGCGTGCTTCTAAGGCGCGCCCGTCTCCACTACCCTCGGTTCTTGTACCGCGCACGCGCACCGCTGCCCTCTCCCCCCCCCCCCGCCCCTTCACCGACTCGCGCTCGCGTTCTAACTGCCCCCCCTTCATTCCCCTGCCCCCACTCCCGTCAGCAACGGCCTCGCGCCTAAGAGACCTAGTGTAGTGTGCACCCGTCCGCGCGGCAACCGTCTCCCTTCCTCCACGCTTTCACGGCGGCACAGTACTTCAAGTCTCTGAGAAGGCCTCACGTCTCTCGCAGATCTTTGTGCGCCTCCTCTTCATTCCAACTCCAGAAAGAGTCCATCATTATTCCCCGCTTTAACCTCGCGCAGATGGGGTGAAAAGGGTGTGAGGGGGAGGGTGTCCTTCCCCTTCCCCCAAACATCCCGAAGCGATAACCTAACATGGCCAAGTCGCCAGCCTGCCGCAGCCCTCAAATCCGAAGGAAAGCAGTGCCGCCCATTCCCTGACTCCAAGGAATCAGTGGATCAGGCTCGGAGAGTGGCTTGGGAGCCCGCTCCTTGGACGCATTCGGCCGCTCACTCACCTGAGGCCGCCATGTTGGGAGAGGGAGAGAGAACGCAAAGGACCCGGATGAAGCAATCACGTGATTATAGCGGGAGCGCCAGCACTGAGAAGCGAAACTGGGAGGGGGTAGGGAGGTGAGAAGTGAGACAGGAGGCGGGGCGTCGCTGATCTAGGTTCGTGTAACAGCGTGAGGAGGTGGCGCAACGTCCGATGGGAAGACCTGCGCGACATGTGGCCGAAGGGGTGGAGCCTGGGCCGTAGCGAAACGCCTAACGCTTTACGTAGACCTACGCGCGGACGAGGGGCACGGCCAGAGTCCCAGACGGGGTCCACGGACTCGCGACTTCCTGTCCTTGGGGTAAGCGGAAGGGGCGGGTCTGCACTGGCAAGGGTCCTGTATCTGGGACGTAAAGGTAGGAGGTGCAGGTCAGAATGGGTGTACCACAATTGGTTTTCTGAAAGCGAGTATTTTGAGTTTCTTTTTAAGTCCCTTTTTGTTGAGGCAAAACAAGCCTACAATCCTGCGTAATGATGGTTTTAATTTTGCTTATTTAGTCGGAATAAAGTAAAAAATATAGAACACTTAATTGCCAAAGGTTTTAACGTCATTTAATCCTTTATTTTACTGGATAGTTAAGTCAGACTCAGGCCCGTGATTTCAGAGACGAGTGCTATCTGTCCTTCTCCGGCTAATGCTACATTTTATCATACATTGTTTATCACATTAGCACTTTACTCAATGAAAAGTTTCATTGGTTGACTACCATGAATCAGGAACTGTTAATGGCTTTTTTGAGTACAAGAGATAACAAAACCTCCCAAAAGGAGGTTATAGTCCAGTGAGGGAAAGATAAGCATTCTAGGTAATTAAGGTGATTTTAATAAAAGGTGACTGGCTGCAACTTTATTTTTATTTATTTATTTATTTATGCCTCACCCAAGGATTTGTTTCAGAAAGAGGAATAGAGAAACATGTGAGGGAGAATCATTAATCAGCTGCCTCCTGTATGGGAACCCTAACAGGGAATCAAACCCACAACCTTTTGGTGTACCAGTGGAGGCTCAACCAACTGGGCCACCGGGTTAGGCCCGACAGGGTGCAGTTTTAGATTGCCTGCTCAGGGAAAGCCTCTGAGGAAGTGACGTTGGAACTGAGATCTGTATTACAACAACCAGCTCTGAGAACATCTTTAGGAGGAGCTTTAGGAGAAGGCAGAGTGTGCAGAGTTAGATCAAAAGTTCCAAGGCAGGAACAACTTGGCAAGCTGATAGCTGGGGTATGGTAAGGGAGGAGTGTAAGATGAAGTTTGAAAAGTAAGTAGGGGTTGGATCAAATGTGACTTGTAAACCAGGTTTAGGAGTTTGGATTTTATTACAAGTGAGTTGAGAAAGCATGGGAGGATTTTATATGAGGGAATGCCATGACTTGAAATAAAATTTTAAGAAAGATTAGTATCAATGTGGGTGGTGGTTACAAGAGTGTATATTTAGGTAAAAAGTTCATTACACAGTGCACTTAAGATTTGTGCAGTTTACTTATAAAAGTTATACTTTAATGTGAAAAAAATGCCACAATAAGAATACTCAGGCTATTGAATAGAGAATGGATTATACAGATGAGATAATGGAAGAGAAAAACCATGTAAAAGGTTGTCGCTGCTGCCAGGGCCCCACTGTGACTTTTCATGGACTCCAGGCATTTCTGTATTTGTAGGTCCCTTTCTCCATAAAAACAATATTAAAAATGATATTTTATGATTATTTTAAAGACAAATATGTTGATAATATACATTAAGACATTTTCTTTAGCCCTGGCTGGTGTAGCTCAGTGGATTGAGTGTGGGCCCGCAAACTGAGGGATTGCGGTTCCATTCCCAGTCAGGGCACATGCCTGGGTTGCAGGCCAGTTGCCAGCAGGGGACACATGAGAGGCAACCACACATTGATATTTCTCTCCCTCTCTCCTTCCCTTCCCCTCTAAAGATAAATGAATAAAATCTTAAGAAAAAAGAAAAAAAAGACATTTTCTTTAACCTGAATGGTTTTTTTCTTTGTAATTTAAAAAATAAACTAAAATGTTTTTGAGGTCTCCTAAAAGTGTGGCGGGGCCTGGGTGCTGTGCCTGCTGTGTCTACTGGATTAAGCCCGCCCTAGTTGCTGTCACCCTGATGAGCGAAGGTGGTGGTCTAGACATGAGTGTAGGATGGAAAGGGATATATGCAGAAATATTTTGGAAGTAGACTTGGTGCTTGTTTAGACATAGGACACAGAAGGAGCTATCAGAGATGACTCCTGAATTTTTGGCATGAACATGTGGCTGATACAATTTACTTAGATGGCACGGCCTGGAGTGGAGCAGGTTTGGAGAGGGTGGGTGGGCTCTGTTTTGGCCCTATTAAGTTTGAGCCCCTTAATAGCCCTATTAAGCTACCGGTTCAGCGCTGCTCATATTTTAATGTGCTTACAAATCTTTTGGGGAATTTGTTAAAAGCCGTGTTCCAAATCAGTAGGACTGGGGTGAGCCTGAGATTTTGTATTTCTCCTGGTTTGGATCATTAAAATGGAATGATACCTGAGAATTAAGAAAAAACAGGATTGTCCCAGTTACCATTGGAGACAGTAGATTTCAGAAAGTTCTGAGGAAAGCCAAATAAGATAGGGATATACAATGTAGGGAGAAACTTTCAATTACTAAGCACCTGTGTATTTTAGGGTGATACAGGCACTTAAAAAACTAGTTTGTGTAGTCCTCACAATGGCCCTCTAAGGCAGTGGTTCCCAACCTTTTTGGCACCAGGGACTGGTTTTGTGGAAGACAGTTTTTCCACAGACTGGGGTGGGGAGGGATGGTTTCCGGATGATTCAAGCATATTACATTCAAGCTCACCTCCTGCTGTGAGCAGCCCCCCCCCCCCCGCCCGCCCTGTGCCTAACGGGACTGGTACCAGTCTGTGGCCGGGAGGTTGGGGACTCCTACTCTAAGATTAATGTTATTAGTAGTGTTTTAAAATAATGACTCAGGCTCAGAAGCAGTAAGTATGTTATGTGAGAACACACAGCCAGCAAATGGTAGAGTGGCAGACCCAGAACTGTCTTTCTCAGGTTTATGTCCTTTCCAGTTTTTTTTTTTTTAAGACGTCTTAAAAAATTAAAGAAAACTATCCTGCCTGCTGTGGCTCAGTGGATTAAGCGCTGGCCTGCAAATCAAAGGTCACCAGTTTGATTCCCAGTTAGAGCACATACCTGGGTTGCAAGCCAGGTCCCCAGGTTTGTCTCACACGTCGATGTTTCTCTCCTAGTCTTTCTCCCTTCCTTCCACTCTTGGAAAGTAAATAAAATCTTTAAAAAAATAAAGAAAACTGCCCTGCCTGATGTAGCTCAGTGGATTGATCACAGGCCTGCAAACCAAAGGGTCACTGGTTCAATTCCCAGTCTGGGCACGTGCCTGGGTTGCAGACCAGGTCCCCAGCAGGGGACGCAGAAGAGGCAACCACACACTGATGTTTCTCTCTCATTTTTTCTCCTTCCCTTCCCCTCTCTCTAAAAAAAAATAAATAAAATATATTTTTTAAATAAAGAAAACTGTTAAAATCTCATGAGAAGTCTGTAACAACCACTTTGTAGCATTTGTTCTGAAGGAACCCAGAAGAAATAAACTGTGGTAGTTATCAGTGGCTGTATAACAAATTATCTTAAAACAATAAATATTTATTCTCTCAGTTTCTGTGGGTCAGAAATTGGTTATTGAAAATCACTTTCCAAGCCCTGACATTTGCAGTGTTTCTTACATTCATATCCTATTTCCCTTGTCATTTTTCTCCCTGACCACTGCATTAGTCTCCTAATGAGTCTTCTTCCTGCCTACAGTCTTTCCTTGCTTCATTCCATGTAATGTGTAGCTACCAGATTTATTTCCCAAAGTATAGGTCTGGACACATTCCCCTGCTAATAAACTTCCCATGATTCTACATGGCTTAGGCAGACATTCAAGGCTGGTATAGTCCAAATCCCAAATCACTTCTTTCCCACTATCCTCCTTGTCTGCTGTTACGTCCTAGCCAGCTACACCTGTGCTTTCCTGGCCTAGTCTTTTTTTTTCCCCTTTGCTCTTCCTTCTCCTTGGAATATGCTTTCACTACCAAACGTGTCAACAATATAAGCACTTTTCAAATGTCACCTTTTCTAGGAGGAAGCTTTTCCTGAGCTTCTTTCTCTGAAACCCGCCCCAGGACTGTGCCAGTATCTTCTTTTGGCATTTGTCACCTTTCTCCTTGAATTGCCTTCACTTGTCCATCAACTCCTCAAGGGCAGCATCCATGCGATTATCTCTGTTTTCCTTGCATTAGCACCTAGAACATTGCTGGTACTCAGTATGTATTTGTTGGTGCTAAAGTCAGACTTCCAAGGAATTGTATACATTCATCAAGGAGGTTTTCAAGAAGTTATTGTAACACATGTTGATTTATATGCTTGGATTTATTTCATTGAACTGGAAAATGTAGCCCTTAAAAACAATGGTTTCTTTCACAGGAAGAAAGCAAAAATTTCCTCTTTTAGGATTTTTCAAACTGAAAAATGTTTGGAAACTAAGTTAAAGTAAAGGAAACAAAGAAATGCGCATAAGTTTATATTTGTTTTCTAGAGTCTGAATTTACCAAGCTAATTAGCTTAACAATATTTAAGGTTTTTACATAATTTGGTTGAAATTGTCCAAATTTTCTTTTGAAGACCACCCTGAGTGTGCATGTGTGTATATATAAAATTATATGTTTATATAATTATACCTGGCAGTTTAAAAATTTTCAACAATAATAATAAATTTTTGTTAAATCATTCCCTTGTTTTTCTCTGAGCCTTAGAATTCTGACCTGTAAAAGGAGGACATTTAACTAGATGATTTCAAAGATCTTTTTTGTCATTTTATGAATCTGTGGTACTAATTGTGGACATTATGATCTTCCTTCTGGTAAAGCTAGCAAAGACATTCTTCAGATAACCAGAACTAAGCTAAACCGTTAATCAGACAATATGGTTCATATGCCAGTTACTTCTATTTGTTCAGCTTGTGTAGCTGAAATAATAGATTACCATTGTTTTCTGCTTTATGTTCACACCATCCAAGCAAAGTATATCAATACCTTAACACAGTATATTTCTGTAAAATAAAAATTTTTTTAATCACTGAGTTTTGAATGTGTAAGGTTAATTTTAAATATATATCATTATTAATAGGGGTTCTGTTTTTGTTATGCTGAGTAAGTTTTCAGTAGATCTACCCTATCATATATAACAGTAAACTGGACCCCCAAAACACCCCCCAAACAAAAAAGACCCCAAACCTACAACTATGCAAAAGCTGTGGAGAAAGGCGAGCAGATTTTGGAGGAGAGATGAAACTTGGAAGAAGGTGGTGATGTGGCACAGTCCAGTATGGCCGACGCTTCCCTGGAAAAGCTGCCATATTTCTGCCTTTAGGAAGGCATTGCCCGGGCCAGTCTATGCTCTCAGAAAGTGTGTGTCTGTGTGTGTGTAAGGGAGGGAGGTTTTGGGAGGGCAGGGAAGGGAACCAGAGTTCTGCTGCTAACAGTTCAGTTGAGGAAAGAAAGGAAATCAAACAGATATCTGCTGTCTACCTCAAATGAGAGTTTGCAGTTTGGGTCTAATTTAATTGCTTGCTAAAATAAAAATGGGAACATCTTTGGAGGATATGTTAGTTTCCTCTTCTGCTATAAGAAATTACTACAAACTTAGTTTTATTCTCTTTATAGGTCTGGAGGTCAGAAGTCGGAAATGGGTTTCACTGAACTAAGGATGGGACTGGAAGCCCTGGGGGTGAATCTGTTTTGTAGTCATTTCCAGCTTCTATATACTGCTCACATTCCTTGGCTCATGGTGCTCTTCCTCCATTAACAAAGCCAGAGAGTTCAGGTTGGATCCTTCTTACATTCATTGCTCTGACTCTTGTTCACTTTTCTTCTGACTTCCTCTTTCATTCTATTTTTTTGGGGGGGCATTTTTTATTGTATTTTTTTCATTTGCATTTAGCCCCTTATACTCCTCTCCCCCCACTTTCTTTCACTCTTAAGGACCCCTGTAATACATTGGGTCCACCTGATAATCCAGTATAGTCATCCAACTTTAAGGTCATCTAGTTAGCAACCTGAATTCCTTCTGTAGCTTTAATTCCCCTTTGCCATGTAACATAACATACAGATTCCAGGGATTCAGATGTGGACATCTTTGAGCAGGCTGTTATTCTGCCTACCACAGAAAGTATATCTTGAGTCTCCACGATATAACATTCACAATGTATAGGATACTCTAAGAAATATTCAACATATGAAGAACATGGAAAATGTGACCCTTTTCCCAGGAACACGAAAATCAACAGAGGCCAACCCTGAGATGACCCAGATGTTGAAACAATCAGACAAGGACTTGAATGCAGCTCTTGTGACCATGCTCATTGAGATAAAGCAACATGGTGTTGTAATGAATGAAAAGGTAGAAAATCTCAGCAAAGATATAGACAATATAAGAAGAGCCAAATGGAAATTTTAGAATTAAAATATCTGAAATAAATCTCATGAGATAGGATTAAGAGCAGAATTAAGAAAGAGTCAATACTGGAAGGTCAATCAATAGAAATAATCAGCCCTGGCTGGTGTAGCTCAGTGGATTGAGTGTGGGCCCGTGAACCACACAATCCTGGTTCGATTCCCTGTCAGGGCACATGCCTGGGTTGCAGGCCAGTTCCCAGCAGGGGACTCACGAGAGGCAACCATACATTGATATTTCTTTCCTTCCCTTCCCCTCTAAAGAGAAATAAATAAAATCTTTAAAAATATGTTCAAAACAGTATTCTAAAAGACAGTAACTGCTACTAATACAAGATATAAAAATTTGAACAACAACAACAAAAATAATCAAAACTGAAGGGGGGGAAGTGAACAGAGCCTTAGGCACCTGTGGACAATATGAAAAGATACATCTTATTGAAGTCTCAGAAGGAGAGGAAAAAGGGGGAGATAGGGTAGAATAATATTTGAAGAAAAACCTCTGTGCTGCCCACATTTGGTTAAAACTCAAGAAGCTCAGCAAACCCTTAAAAGCATAAATGTGAAGAAAATACTAAAAACCAATGACAACAGGGAGGTCTCGGAAGCATTCAGAAAAAAGTGATGTCACGTACACGAGACCAATAATTTGAATGGCCATGGGCTTACTATAAACTATGGAACCTGGAAGACAGAGGAACAAGATTTTTAAGTGCCAGAAGAAAAAAAGGTGTAAACACCCTGGAATTTTGTATCCAGAGAAAATATCATTTGGCAATAAAAAAGAATGAAGTATTTATACATGCTGTGACGTGGATGAAACTTGAACACATTTTGCTAAGTGAGAGAAACCAGTCACGAAAGACCACATATTTCATAATTCCATTTATATGAAATTGGAATAGCCAAATCTATAAAGTCAGTGTATCAGTGGCTGCTTAAGGCTGGGGGATGGAGGGAATGAGGGATGACCGTTAATTGGTATGGGGTTTCTTTTGGGGGTGATGAAAACACTTTAAAATTGATTGTGATGGTTGCACAACACCATGAACTTAACTAAAACCCCCTCCAGACTGCTGCAGGAATTGTTCCACTTCACTCGTTTTCCACCAGATCTACTCAGCACACAGCAAGCACTTGGATCAAATTTCCTAAAACAGGGCTCTGTGATGAGTACCTTTATGCATCAACTCGATTGTGAAGGGATGCCCAGACAGCTGGTAAAACATGGTTCCTGGGTGTTTCTGTGAGGGCGCCTGTGGGAGAGATCAGCATTTGAATTGGCAGGCTAAGTTTTGCCTTTACCAGTGTTGATGGGCATGGTTCAGTTTGCTGAGGGCTTGAATGGAACAAGGCAGAGGACAGGTGAACTTACTCTCTGCTTGTGCTGAGACGTCCATCTTCTCCTGACTTTGGGCAATGGCACTTCTGGTTCTTGGGCCTTTGACTTGGACTGAATTCAATTCTATTAGTGGCTTTCCTGGTTCTCCAGCTTGCAGACAGCAGATCATGGGACTTATCAGTCTCCATAATTGCATGAGCCAATTCCTATAATAAATCTTGTCTTATATATCTCTATATGTCTTACTGGTTTTCTTTTTTGGAGAACCCTGACTGATATACATTCCATCTCTTTCCAAGGCCCTACTCCCTAGCATCGAAAGCACTTCATAATCTGCCTTCACCTTGCTTCTCCGACCTTATCTGTTGCCCTAACTTCTGCCTTGCCCAGAGCAGATGCTGGGCTTTCTCACTGTTACTACTCTTTTCATGAGGTACATGAGGTAACTCTTTTGTTGCTTTGTGTGATTTCCCAAGTAAATTCTAAGTCCTTTGGATAATATTAGTAACAATAAAGCAGATAATATTTATTAAGGATTGTTGTGAGCTTGGTACTATGATAACATATCTATATATTTCATCTCATTTCATCCACCCAACAACCCCATGGGGAGATACTGTCATTATTACCATTTACACCTGAGGCTTCTGTGTTATAAGGATAATTTTCTAAAAGGTAAAATAATGACTCATATAAATGTGTAGCGAACACACATCAAAGATTTTATTTAGCTCACTGATTAAGGAGGAAACCTGTAATTTGTTAAAAACCAATTGAAAGAAGAATCTGAAGAGTGACATTTATAGGCTATCGGGAATGCTGAAATGAATTTGCTAATAGGTACAAAACTGGTTAATAGCCTATAGGTACGAAAATGTAATATTTGGAATTACCTTTTCTACTGGGCACAAACCAATTTTATCTCACTGGACAAAGTTCATTTGCCTTCCTATGGACAAAAGTAATTTGCATTAATGTCAGTTTTTCCAACTTAGAAAACTGTGAGTCTAGTCAAATACAATCAGAGCTTATCCTGAACACACTGCTTATCTTCTTGGTGTGTCTGAAAATAGGATGTTGAAGTCCTAGTGAGATTCTTTAAAATAAATTATTATTATTTTTTAAAATTTTATTTATTTATCTTGAGAAGGGAAGGGAAGGAGAGAGAGAGAAATATCAATGTACGATTACTTCTTGTGCATCCTCTGCTGGGAACTGGCCTGCAATCTAGGCATGTGCCCTGACTGGGAATCGAACCGCGATCTTTTGGTTCACAGGCCCATGCTCAATCCACTGAGCTACACCAGCCAGGCTAAAATAAATTATTTATAAACTTAAAAAATTTCCGGGAGGGAATTTCAGGGGAAAAGGGGAAGGGTTTACAGGAACAAGTATAAAAGACACATGGACAAAAACTAGGGGGGGGGGAATGGGAGGGAGGGGGGAGGGCTGGGTGGGTGGGCTGGGATGGGAGTAAAAGACAGAAAACTGTACTTGAACCATAATTTTTAAAAATACTTAAAAAAATGTAAAGGCACAGACCCTTACAGATTCAAATGACATCGAAGAGTCCCTGGACAAAACCCAGAATTCAATTCCATTGAAAAAGCACTCAGGAAACTTTTGCTCATTTCAAAGTCTTTCACCAATTTTCCTGCACAGACTGGGTCCTAGAGTTTTTATACTTCAGCATCTAGCACAATACCTAGTGCATGTTGGGTGTTTAATCATTGTGGGCTGGTTGGTTGATGAGAATTATCGAATGGTGGATTATAAAGTGTGTGGTATATTGAAAGCCATGACCAATGTATTTTGCATCTTTTCCATCAAGAAGTAGAGTCTAAGCCCTGGCTGGTGTAGCTCAGTGGATTGAGTGCGGGCCTGCGAACCAGAGTATCGAGGTTCGATTCCCAGTCAGGGCACATGCCTGGGTTGCAGGCCAGTTCCCAGCAGGGGACACATGAGAGGCAACCACACATTGATGTTTCTCTTTCTCCTTCCCTTCCCCTCTAAAAATAAAATCTTAAAAAAAAAAAAAAAAAGAAGTAGAGTCTATTTTCTTACTCCTTGAATCTGGAAATGCCTTGTAACTTGCTTTGGCCAATACATATGTCAAAAGTGACAATGTGTGACTTCTGCAACCTAGACTTCTAGAGGCTCTCCTGCTTCCACTTTCACTCTCTTGGGACCTGCCATTACCAAGCACGAAACTTAGGCTCTTCTGCTGGAGAGCCACATGGAAGAGAACCGAAGCATCCCGGCTGACAGCCCCAGCCCACCACCCTGGCTATGAATGGGACCATCCTGGACCAGGATGGTCCAGGTGACTGCAGCCACACAAACAACTTCCAATGAGACCAGCAGAAGCACTGCCTGGCCGGAAACTGCAGATTGATGAGTAAATGGTTGTTTTAAGCCTCTAAGTCTTGGGGTGTTCTGTTACATGGTGAGGGCTAAAGTGGTAACAGTACTGTCTGTGCAGTGAGACTTCCATGCAGGGGAAGGGGACAAGTGTTTCTTTGGGGTTATAGGCTGCTCCTCATGATTGAATTTCCTGGCCCAGCTGTCCTGTACCCTAGCTGGTTGGGATGCCTGTGGTGCTCCTTGAAGGAAGTGTCACTACCTGGGTATGTGGTTAGGCCTCATACCTTTAGGTGCCCACGCAGCCCCTTTGACAGGCTCAGTACTTGCACTGATCTGGGCACTCGAAGAGAAGTAGAAGCCAACCCTCTTTAAAAGAAGGGAGGCAGTGAGCAAGTAACACAGGAAGTTTACATCTGAATAAAGTACGAAGTTAACCCTCTCATAATGTTTTCCCCTTCCTTCCTTGAATCTGTACGCCACTTTTACTTTTTGGATATCTTTCTACTCAGCTTGTCTGAGTCCCATCCTAGCCCAGTGAGTAAGAAGGACAGGTGGGGAAACCACGAGATTTGCCCAGCACCACGCAGAGGCTTAATCATGGGGCAGGTCTCAGGCCTCCTGCTATAGTGTCCAGTGGCCCAGTGCTGGGTACTGCCCCAGTCAGGTGCCATGTGCATCCCTTCTCTCCCCAAGAATCCTCAGTCTGGGATGTAAACCCAAGGCGTGCATGTGAACTCAGAATGATGCCAGGGTGGCAGTGTGGTGTCAAGGAAAAGATCTAGTTCCGTCTGTTAGCTCCAGTAGTCACTCAACCTCTGTAAACCTCAGTGTCCTCAGAGATTAAAATTACATCTACCTATAAATTAAAAAACGTGTACTTCCTGGCTGATGTGGCCCAGTGGATTGAGCGCTGGCCTGTGAACTAAAAGGTCGCTGGTTCGATTCCAGTCTGGGCACATACCTGGGTTGCGGGCCAGTTCCCAGTTGGGGGCATGCAAGAGGCAATTGATGTTTCTCTCACATCAATGTTTCTGTCCCTCTTTTTCTCTCTCCCTCCCCTCTCTGTGAAAATAAATAAAATCTTTTAAAAAATGTAAACAATGATTGCGTCTGGAGTGAGGTATGGGGCCTGGGCATCTGGGCTAGGGGGAAGACTTATTTTTCATTGAGTGTCTTTTGTACTATTCAATTTTATAATTGTGATGATTAATTTTGCATGTAAACTGGGTTAAGAGGTGCTCAAGCAGCTGGTGAAACATCATCTCTTGGTGTGTCTGTGAGGGTGTTGATAGAAGAGAGGAGCATTCGAATCAGCAGACTGAGTGACAACCATCCTCACCGCTGCAGGCGGGCATCGTCCATTCTGTTGAAGACCTGCATGTAACAAGAGGCGGAAGAAGGGCAAATTCACTCTCTGCTCGAGCTGAGACCCCATGTACTCCTGCCTCCAGACACTGGTGCTCCTGATTCTTGGGCCTTTGGATTCAGACCAGGACGTGTAGCATTAGGTCCTGATTTTCAGGCCTTGGACTTGGAATGAATTACACACATGGCTTTCCTGGTTGGCCAGCTTGCAGACAGCAGAGCATGGGCCGTTTCGGACTCCGTAATCATGTGAGCCCACTCCCATAATGAATCTCATATATATTTCTATAAATCCGTAGGTTCTGTTTCTCTGGAAAACCCTGACACAGTAATCATAGGGCAAACATTATCCATTCAATAACAATACTAATTAACCAAGAAATCATTGATCTGTAATAATTCTAACAAATATCTAAAACAATAAAATTTTGTCTTTCCCCAGTGGTATACGTAGAGTATTTGACACTTTTACTGCTAAAGGACAAAATCATTTTTAGAAAGAAGAATTATTTTCTTGATTCACTTTACAGCTGTAGAACAATTAAGAATTAAAGATACTAATTAAGTTAAAATATATTCAAATCCTGTAAAACATTTCATGTATGAACTAAAGTTTGCATTGCCAAGCAAAAATATTATACCTTGCAGTTTTCACTGTCATTATTTTATATTTCAAACACAAATGAAAATTCTAACTATCCACATAGAATGGCTGAATTGAAGTAACAACTTCTTGTTTTTGTTTTTTTTTTACAATCACTGTGTGTAGTTGTATATTTCTCATCTAGTGTTTAGAATTTTTAAAAAGATTTTATTTTATTTTTTTATTTTTAGAGAGAGGAGAAAGGAGGTAGAAAGAGAGGGAGGCAACCACATCATTGTGCACGCCCCTCTCAACTGGGGACCTGGCCTGCATCCCAGGCATGTGCCCTGACTGCTGCCCTTTGGTTCGCAGGCTGGTACTCAGGCCACTGAGCCTCACCAGCCAGGGCTCACCTAGTGTTTGAAGCCAGGAATATGTACTATCTATAAGAGCTGGCTGGGCGAGTGCTTGGACAATTCTGAACTGTAACAAACTTTTCTCAAAATGAGTGGGGATAGTAGAAAACACTGGGTATTCACTTCATATAGAATGTTATTTTTATTAAAAGATAAATAATGAAAGTATGTTAATTTGAAACTTACCCTTTTATTGTTAAAACTCAACAGTAATTACAGCAATTATTTATAACTTATACCAACAGAAGATGCTCTCATGAAATATTTTTTATTTTATTTTAATTGTTCAAGTACAGTTTTCTGTCTTTTACTCCCATCCCAGCCCTCCCCACCTCCCTCCCATTTTCATGGAGTGTTTTATCACTGACCTTGTTTAGAATTGCCCACACATGAAGATAATAACAACAGACTTTTAATCAGTTTTATTGTTAGTTTAAAAGTTTTCTACAGACAATGCACTGGCTTGTTGCCAATCCAGGTTGTACTACTCCCACAGTCCTGCCTTCCTTCCAAGGTCCTTGTTAAAGATCAAATGGGACAATGTTTTCAGGGACCTCAAATTCAGTGTTGTCAGGCTTCAGAGAGGCAAGCATGTGAAGTGGTAGAAGTCACAGTCACAGAGAGCTGTGCAGACTGTGTAGACCCAGGAGCCCGTGCCCTGCTTAAGGGCATTCACATTCAGTGTTCCGGTCTGAGACACATCCATGCTGTGGGCTGAAGCTTGTGCAACTTGACCAATAAACAGTTCAAAATTAGGTCTGGGCTGAGTTCAACGCTCTTTCCACCATGCCGTTGGCCTTGATGTAAACCCCAGTTTCCTCTTCCATAACATGGGGCCACTGATACCTACTTCTCTTGGGAAGCTTAGGAACAATTTAGTTCAAATTCTAAGCACAGTACCTGGCACACAGTAAGCACTCGAAGAGTGACTGGTAGCTCCATATAAAACACCTGTTAACTGCAAAACATCATATAAGTATTAGGTATTATTATAAAGGACTTAACCACCAGGGTAAAAATATCACCTTACTTTGAAACTAATTCATAGATGGTTACTGCTTTATGTCCAAGGTGAGAACAGAGTGAGAAAGGTGGGAGCCCTGGAGAAGCTGAGTGCTGAGGTGGGCGGGGTTAGATGAGGAGTCCACTTGTCCCAGTGCTCACAGAGGGCAGAGGCGAGGGTAGACGAGGACTATCTTGGCTGGAGGTGTGTCTCTGCCTCAGGGGAAGAAGGGTGTGTGGGTCTATCCTGGGGGTCCTCACAGTTTAACAAGGTAACATGCCATCCACA